TTTTATTTTTAATTATTATACTAATATTTCTACTAATTACGTAAAAGAGTATTATAAAACATTATATAAAAAATTTTAAAGTATTATTTAAACTTATTACTAATTTACTTTTAAACCCTTCTTCTCTCCTTTCTTTTTTTATCTTTATTTTATACCTATACTATTTAATAGTCTAAATATAGAACAAAGAGTCTAAAGAACTAAGAGTCTATTAAATTAGCCTAAATATTAAATAAAGAGTTTAAAAGTAAATTAATTTTACTAAATATTTTTTACTTTTACTACCTTACCTCTTCTACTACTACTCTACCTTTATAATAACAATAACAATAATAATAACAACAAGTATAGTTTACGTATTAATCTATACTAATTATTATACTAATTATTAATATAGTTAATTAATAATAACAACGACCTAATCTACGGCTTACCTTTTAAAGAATTCTTTTAATTAATCTATAGCTCTCTCTTTTTAAAGAATTCTTCTAATTAATCTATAGCTTCTTCTTTTTAAAGAATTCTTTTAATTAATCTATAGCTTACCTTTTAAAGAATTCTTTTAATTAATCTATAGCTTTCTTCCTTTCTAAGAATTCCTTTAATTAATCTATAGCTTTCTTTCTTTTAAAGATTTCCTTTAATTAATCTATAGCTTTCCTTCTTTTAAAGATTTCCTTTAATATAAATACAAGAAGGTATATAGTAAGTATAAGTTTATATATTGATCTATACTAATTATTATACTAATTAATAATATAGTCAAATTTTAATAACTATAATAGTAATAATAGATAATAGTAATAGTAAAAACTTAAAGCGTAAGGCTATAGAAGAGCTCTTAATAAACCTAAACATAATTAAGGTATAAAAGCGCTAGGATATAGACGATAAAGTCGTTAAAAAGATTAATAAAGTAAAAGCTACTAACTAAAGGGCTATAACATATACTAAAAAGAAAGTAAAAGAGACATCTAAATTTATTAGTATATCTAATATATAAAAACAATAGATACTTAACGATATAAGAGACTAAGTTCTACTATAAAGGTATATTTAACTTTTATATACTAAGGTATTTTATACTAATCTTTATACTAATTAATATTAGATTATAAATAAGAAAGGACTAGAAGACCTTAGCTTAAGAGCTAGGCTATAGTAAGATTAGTAGATAATTTACTATTAAAGATAATAGAAATCTTACTTAAGAAGATATTAACTTTAAAGAAGAAAATACTACGTAATATAAAGAGATATAGTAAGAGGATAAAAAATTAAATAATAAAAGCGTTAACAAAATTAGTAATAATATTAATAAAAGGGGAGTTAAGGTATAGTAGAGCTACGTCTAAGTATACTAGTTTTATATTAGATTAGTATAAAGATTAGTATAACGCTAACTACGCCTAGAGTAATATAGCCTAAGAGTTTTGCCTCTAGTAGTAGAAATAGTACTAGAGTAAGAGAAGCTTTTATTATAAGGTAATAAAGCTTAAGAAAGAAAGAATAGAATAGCTAAAGAGAGATAGGCTATATTATCTAATAATAGACAGGTACGTGTCTTAGTAATTATTATACTAATCTTTATACTAATCTACTATAAATAATAAAGACTTATAAGACTTCTTACTACTTAAGCGATTTTTTATATTAGGTAAGAAAGCTATATAAAAGAACATAGCTATATAGTATAAAGATAATAATAAATAAGTAGATTTGTTAAGGCTTATAGATTAGTAGCTAGAAGATCTAGAGATTAATAATATAAGGTTTACGTTTTTTAACTAGCGCTCTAGGTATTACTAGGTATACAGACTAATCTATACTAATAAAGAGCCCTTTAATAAGACGTACGATCGCGTCTTCTTATCTAGTACAGACCTCTTTATAATAAAGGATTTAATTAAGACTAGAGAGATACTAAAAGCGTTTTTTTACGTTTAATTTTTTATAAAAAAGAAATATAAAATAATCGTTCTTTTCTTTATGTACGACTTATATTTAGTTATAATACTCTTATCTATAATAGTATAGCTTATAATTTATATAGTAGAAATTAAGATGTCTAAAATTAAGGATTATTAGAAGCGTACTACATATAGTAGAGATTACGATTCCTAAAATAAATAAACAAAAGGACAGCTAAGTTACTAATAGTATATAGTAGTAGAATCAAAGCCTTTAAAGGATCTTTAAGAATTTGTTATTACTATAAGGACGTACTTAGTATAACTTAATATATTACATTATATATTTATACTAATCTTTATACTAATCCTCTTAATTCCTCTTTTTTTAAATATAACTTACCTCCTTTTTTAAATATAACTTACTCTTCTAAACATTTGTATTATTAAAAACTACTCTTTACGATTATAATATTATATAATGTCTTTATTATCTACTACTATATTTATTCCTAATTCCTCTTTAGCTACAAACCTATTTAGTAATAACACTATTACTAATAGACCTTTACTAAATACTATTAGCTAAAGAAATTAATGTTTCTAGTAGACTAAAGACTAATATTACTAATTCCTTACCTAGTAACTATAGATAGATTAGGTAGCTATAATAGTAGGTTTAAATAATACTAACGTAGTAAAATAGCTAGGTTAAGACATAACTAAAAGATTAGTATACTAGTAATAATTCTACTAGGCTACAAATTAGTATACTAGTAAACTAGTAGTTATATACTAGAAGTGTTCTATAATACTTACCTATCCTAATTTAAGAGTACTTATAACTAGTACTACTACTCTTACAAAATACTTAACGTCTAAATAATGTATTAATGTATCTATAAGTTAAAGTTAAGGCTTATAAAGACAACTCTCCTTTTATAAGGCTATTTTATTATCTATAACTATAAGTATAACTAGTTAGTATAAAGATTAGTATAAACTAACTAGTATATATAGTCTACTACCCTTATAACTAAGGCTTTTTAAGACTAGGTCCTTAAAACAATCGTTTCTTTATAACTCTCTTTCTAGGCTATAGAAAACACTAATCTCTAACGACTATTAAAGCTATTAAATCCTTGTTTTTAATTACTATTAGTAATAACTATATAGACCTACCTAATATAGCGCGTTACCTAAGTTAAAGAGAATATACTTATAAACCTAGTACTAGACAGTAAGGTAGCCTTATCTCTTAATTATTAGTTAAGTCTTACGCGCCTTTTGTTTATAGGCGTTATAGTATATTATATTAATAAAGACTAGGTACTTTAAGAAGAGTTAATTAGGTTTAAAAACCTATATAATATTTATTTAAGACAGGCCCTAGTAATAGTTGTTAATAATTTACTAATAAATCTTAACCTAACTAGTTAAGTAATATTAATTATAACTAATAATACTAGTAATAACTATATAATAGTAGATAAAATTAATTTATATCTTAAAGACGTACTAAAGAACAGTCGTTTTCTTAATAAGTAAATCTAATATATTCCTTATCTATTATATATTCTTTAGCTTACTATAAAAGCGCTCTTAGGTATAATTCGACTATAACTAACGAATAAAACATTTATTTAGGATTAAAGGAATAAGTAAGAGATAGATAAGCTTAAAAAGATGTAATAAGTAAGTAACTAAGGTATACTATATATACTAGTAAAGGTATAGATTAGTTATAATTTTTATACTAATCTTTATACTAATTAGATATAGATTTAGAAGCTTATAGTACTAGTTAACTTAAGTAGGTAAAGACAAGAACATTTTAAATAGATTTAAAACAGGCTAGCTTATAATAATCTAATACGTCTTCTTTAATTAATTATAGACGTAGCTACTTAATAAGACTCTACTATTTTAATATTAATTTAGGTAATAAGACTTTAGAACGCTATTAATAAATTTTATAAAGATTATATAGTAGTATACTTGTTTTAGATCTTAAGTATTAAGTAAGATTAAATTAGATATTTAATTAATCTTCTTTACTTATTTAATTTTTTTACGACTACTATTAGTAAGATAAAGAGCATTACCTTACTATATACTCTATAGATCTATAACAAGTTGTTTAAACGCCTAACTAAATCTTACTATTAACTAAAGGCAAAAGTTAATTAAAAACTATAGGTTTGTATTCTTATCTAAGGTATTAACGCTACTAAGGCTAAACTTAACTAATACTATAATAAGATATATATAGATCTTAGTAGTATTTATATAATAAGTATAATCTTAAACCTAAGGTTAAAATTAAAGACTTTTAATCCTAACTATTATTAGCTTAATTTTAAAGTAAAGGATTAGTAATTAGAGTTTAAAGAGTAGTTTTATAAACTATACTAAAAGAACTATTATAATTATATAAGAAATTTTAATTGTCTTTAAATACTCTAAGAAGTAAACATAAATACTATAGTATTAGTATTAGATTAAGATTAATCGTTAAGTATAGATATAGTAGATAATAA